ATCAACTTTTGTCGCCTTAAAAAACTAAAACAAAGCTTTTGTTCATGTTTTTGTTGTAAAGTGTTTCCAAAATAAATAAATAATAAACTGGTTTACCAGTCAGCGATTGTGGGCGAATGTGAGGGCGCTACTGATTCTACAATTATTAAAACAAATACATGAAAATAAGCAAACAACATGTTTTTTATATTATTTTAAGGATGGAAGCTTAAGGACGCGTAAAGACGATGACGGGAAAAACATGGCTGCTGTGAAGATACAATCTCAATATAGAGGATATAGAACGAGAAAAAGAGCCAAAGCCGCCACTAAAATACAAGCTAATTACCGTGGACATCGAGCGAGGAAATACCGAGATGGGGATCACAAAGATGGCGTCAAAAGGTGTGGCACGATTGGCAGGGATAAATTTCTACTCTGAATTAAAAGTCGCGACATTTAACTACATCGTCTGATTTGAGTCTAAATTTACATATCTGTCGCCATCCTCTGGACACGAGTGATTACACACGAGTACTAAGACGCCACGTCCCATCTGGCTTAGTTTCATTATGTAAACGTACTGTAATCTGAGATTGCTCACTGTATTATAGAACGTAAGATTGATTGGAATTTGGCTAACATCTGAAGTCAATTTAAATTTCCTGCTTATTTACGAGAGACTTATTTGACGACATATTTTAATCAGGCTCATTTATTTTCCGTTCACTCACCATTATAGCAGTTTATATATACTCTGTCTGGTCATAGTAGGGTAGATCTCAGATTTGAAATATTTGTTCTTAGAAATATTAAAAGACGCACCTTTTTCGTGGTAACATTTCATGTATGAATTTTCTTTCAGAGAGTCACAAAAAGGTCACCATGGTATTAGATCGGAAAGATATTCAGTTGAACTCAGTAGTTTGTCTAGCGAAGGTTCATTGGTTGAGTATGGAGATCTGGAAGCTGTTTCGCTGAAAAAGAAGCCAGAACACGAAACGCGCCGAATTCGACAACAATCGGAACATTCGTCTAGAATGTCTACGGACAGTAGAGATTCCCGCTTCGCTGATGAGTACAGTTCCCGCTCTGGTGCGACAAGTGTAACAGATGTTGAAGGCGTAGAAGGAATGCATTTGTACTACGACGAAGCAGACGACAACGACGATATGCAAATTAGTTCTGGAATGGAATCTGCGCAGACGAGCGAAACGGATATGACATATGGAGAACCGGAAACTGACTACGATACTGGCCCGGATGTTGACTTTGCAGCGAAGACGATCCAAGCTGGTTATAGAGGGATGGTGGCGAGAAAGAAAACGAAACAAATGAGACGGAGGATGAAATCGAAACCTAAGAATGACGATGATGCAGCCGCCAAGATTCAAGCTGGCTATAGGGGAATGAAAACGAGGAAATTAAAAAGGCGGGAAACGAACGCAGCTATCACGATACAATCCACATTCAAAGGATATCGCACAAGGCAAGAACTACAGAATAAAAATAAACATCCTGTTACAGCGGGAAAAGTTATTGACAATACTTCCGACGAGAACAAAGCAGCAGTGAGAATACAGTCGACGTACCGAGGATTTAAAACTCGAAAAAAACTCAATAAAGAAAAAAGTTCAGCCACAACCATCCAAGCTACATATCGCGGTTATCGAGCTAGGAAGGGTCAAAATAAATAGAAGCATAGAAAAAATTGTATTTGGATTATGAAAGATTTAATTTGTAAACCCGTTTGGTCAAGACTAGTCACCCGTGTGTTGTGCACATACTCGACATGGCAATGTATATGCTGCTGTAACCTCGGGCTAAACTGAGTGGAATACTGAATTACAAATCACCAAACATCGTTTTGTCGTTACTGCATTATCTATTATCTCTCATCGTTCTATATAATTCCTTCCATCTTTGTTAATCTCTCATCGTTCCCATACAACCCCTTCCATCATTTCGTCTTTGTTTAGCTCTCATCGTTCCATACAACTTGAACCCCTTCCATCATTTCGTCTTTGTTTAGCTCTCATCGTTCCATACACCCACTTCCATCTTTTCGTCATTGTTTTCACAAAATCGATACCAAGTACATATGGCAAAATTATATATATATTCGGACCAAAGTCAGATGGCTATCATATCCTAATTATCGGTAAATTGATCGCGTCTATTTTATTATTACGTACTATACGAGAACTGACTATGATTTGGACAAACCAATACATTATATAGAATCGATGGCGATGGCAGTGTCGTGTTATATATTAAACAATTTCACAAAATTATTCCAAAAGAAAGAGATGATGTCAATATGAATATTTATGCTACAATATTTTCATATATCACACTAAGTAGAATCACATGTCAGTGATGTAGACGTATTACACTGATCAATAATTAACCGGACCGCACTAACTTGTCACAATTTTTTATTTTTTGTTTATTTTATGTAAAACAGTAATTAATATCGACGCCATGCGTTAATGAATCAGGTCACGTGACCCATTCTATTTTGCTTTGTACAATACATGGATTAAAATCATGTTTTGCACACGTGGTCGTAAATCAATGCACGCTGGCTATATTAATTGATATATTGTTTTCGTGATACGTTGCTTTATATTAGCTGAAATAAAACAGATTTTACTCATTGCAGGAATAATATATTGCTCTATATCAAAATTTTGGAAGTTCTTCGATGAAATATCCTTCTGTCGTTATGGAACACATACATGCGAAGGACGCAGCTTAACTGAGTCTTACGCGTGCCGCCCTCAACGTTAGCTGTGAGTAACATTTCACGTGTGGCTTGCGGGCGCACTCTTGTCAAAACCTGAAAGGAGTATGCATACACACTTT